TTAGAAATCCCAGGTGCACTAGACCCAGGGGAACCTCGGCAATAGACGCGCAACTCCGGGAAATCACGGGCGACGGAGTGGCATGCGTGAGAGTGAGAGGCTGTGCAAAAGAAGGGGGTGAGCCTTGTACTCACGCCTGCCACTTCCACGAAACACATGACAACGCGGCCAAAATGGAATCCCGGGTGCACTAGATAGACCCAGGGGAATTGGAGAGTGGACGCGCAACTCCTGGAAATCACGGGCGCCGGAGTAGCATGCGTTACAGTGAGAGGCTCTGCACTATGAGGCACATGTGCTAAAGAAGGGGGTGAGCCTTGCATTCACGCCTGCCACTTCCACGAAACCCATGACAACGCGGCCAAAATGGAATCCCAGGTGCACTAGATAGACCCAGCTAAGTAAGGGAATAGACGCGCAACTCCTGGAAATCACGGGCACCTGAGTGGCATGCGTGAGAGTGATAGGCTGTGCAAAAGAAGGGGGTGAGCCTCGTAGTCACGCCTGCCACTTCCACGAAACCCATGACAACGCGGTCAAAATGGAACCCCAGGCTCACTAGATAGACCGAGGGGGGTTAGGGATTAGACGCGCAACTCCTGGAAATGACGGGCGCCGGAGTGGCATGCGTGAGAGTGTGAGATTGTGCAAAAGTAGGGGTGAGCCTTGTACTCACGCCTGCCACTTCCACGAAACGCATGACAACGCGGCCCAAATGGAATCCCAGATGCACTAGACCCAGGAAAATTGGGGAATAGACGCGCAACTCCAGGAAATCACGAGCGCCGCAGTGGCATGCGTGAGAATGAGAGGCTGTGCAGAAGAAGGGGGTGAGCCTTGTACTCACGCCTGCCACCTCCACGAAACACATGACAACGCGGCCAAAATGGAATCCCGGGTGCACTAGATAGACCCAGGGGAATTGGGGAGTAGACGCGCAACTCCTGGAAATCACGGGCGCCGGAGTAGCATGCGTTAGAGTGAGAGGCTGTGCACTATGAGGCACATGTGCTAAAGAAGGGGGTGAGCCTTGTACTCACGCCTGCCACTTCTAAGAAACGCGTGACAGCGCGGCCAAAATGGAATCCCAGGTGCACTAATCCCAGGGGAGTTGGGGAATAGACGCGCAACCCCGGGAAATCACGGGCGACGAAGTCGCATGCGTGAGAGTGAGAGGCTGTGCGAAAGAAGGCGGTGAGCCTTGTACTCACGCATGCCACTTCCACGAAACGAATGACAACGCGGCCAATATGGAATCGCACATGCACTAGACCCACCCAGGGGAGTTCGGGAATAGACGTGCACCTCCGGGTATTCACTGACGCTGGAGTGGCATGCGTGAGAGTGAGAGGTTGTGCGAAAGAAAGGGGTAGGGCTGGTACTCACGCATGCCACTTCCACAAAACGCATGACTACGTGGCCAAAATGGAATCCCAGGTGCACTACCAGGCGAGTTGGGGAATAGACGTGCAACTCTGGAAAATCAGAGACGCCGGAGTTGCATGGGTGAGAGTGAGAGGCTCTGCACTATGAGGCACATCTGTGAAAGAAGGGGGTGAGCCTCGTACTCATGCATGCCACTTTCACGAAACACATGACAACGCGGCGAAAATGGAATCCTAGGTGCACTAGACCCAGGGGAGTTGGGAAATAGACGGGCAAGTCCGGGAAATCACGGGCGCCGGAGTGGCATGCGTGAGAGTGAGAGATTGTGCGAAAGAAGGGGGTGAGGCTTGTACTCACGCATGCCACTTCCACGAAACGCATGACAACGCAGCCAAAATAGAATCTCAGGTGCACTAGACCCAGGGGAGTTGGGAAATAAAGGCGCAACTCCAGGAAATAACGGGCGCTGGAGTGGCATGCGTAAGAGTGAGAGGCTGTGCGAAAGAAGGGGGTGAGCCTTGTACTCACGCATGCCACTTCCACGAAACGCATGACAACGCGGCCAAAATGGAATCCCAGGTGCACTAATCACAGGGGAGTTAGGGAATAGACGCGCAATTCCGGGAAATCACAGGCGCCGGAGTGGCATGCGCGAGAATGATCGGCTGTGCGAAAGAATGTGGTGAGCCTTGCACTCACGCATGCCACTTCCACGAAACGCATGAGTACGCGGTTAAAATGGAATCCCAGGTGCACTAGACCCAGGGGACTTGAAGGATAGACGCGCAACTCCGGGTAATCACGGGCGCCGGAGTGGCATGCTTAAAAGTGCGAGGCTCTGCACTATAAGGCACATGCGCAAAAGAAGGGGTTGAGCCTTGTACTGACGCATGCCACTTCCACGAAACGCATGACTACGCGGCCAAAATGGAATCCCAGGTGCACTAGAGCCAGGGGAGAGGCTGTGCAAAACAAGGGGTGAACGTTGCACTCACGCATGCCACTTCCACGAAGCGCATTACAACGCGGCCAAAATGGAATCCCAGGTTGACTAGCCCAAAGAGACCTCGGGAATAAACGCGGAACTCCGGGAAATCAGAGGCGCAAAAGTGCCATGCGTGAGAGGGAGAGGCTGTGCACTATAAGGCAGAGGTGCGAAACACAGGGTGAGCATTGCACTCACGCATGCCACTTCCACGAAACGCATGACAACGCGGCCAAAATGGAATCCGCGGTTTACTAGACCAAAGGGACCTCCGGTATAGACGCGCAACTCCGGGAAATCAAAGGCGCAAGAGTGGCATGCGTGAGAGTGAGAGGCTGTGCACTAAAAGGCACAGGTGCGAAACAAGGGGTGAGCGTTGCACTCACGCATGCCTCTTCCACGAAACGCTTGAGAACGCGGCCAAAATGGAATCCCAGGTTCACTAGACCCAAGGGACCTCGGGAATAGACGCGCAACTCCGTCAAATCAGGGGCGCTAGGGTGGCATGCGTGAGAGTGAGAGGCTGTGCACTATGAGGCACATGGCACATGTTGGAAACAATGGGTGAGCTTTGTACTCACGCATGCCACTTCCACGAAACGCATGCCAACGCGGCCAAAATGAAATCCTAGCTTCACTAGACCCAAGGCACCTCGGGAATAGACGCGCAACTCCGGGAAATCAGGGGCACCGGAGTGGCATGCATGAGAGTGAGCCCCACCTGCGTTAAAGGCACGTGTGCAAAGCAAGTACTGAGCCCTGCACGCACGCGTGCCACCTTTAGGAAACGCACGACAACGGGGCCAAAATTGAAGCCCAGGTTTACTAGACCCAACTCCAAGAAATCATGGACGCCGGAGTGGTCTGCGTGAGAGTGACCTTCAACGCACTATTAGTTACATGTGCGAATGAAGGGGGTGAGTCCTGCACGCACGCATGCCACTTCTAGAAAACGCATGATAACGCGGCCAAAATGGAATCCCTAGTTCACTAAACCCAAGGGAGCTTGGGAATAGACGCGCAGCTGCGGGAAATTACGGACGCCGGCGTAGCATGCGTGAGAAACAGTCCCACCTGCATTAAAGGCACATGTGCAGAGCAGGGGGTGAGGCTTGCACGTGCGCACGCACGCCACTTCTAGGAAACGTATGACAACGCGGCCAAAATGGAATCCCAGGCTGGGAATTGCAGCACACTACTTTCCGCTTGCCCAGTGGGGACTCAAAACCCTTGTTTAATGATTCTGTAGTAACCAGTATTAAGTCTTCACTACCATTGTATGAACAACCCGTCAGAGAATCGTCGTCTTCTGTTTGGCAAATGCCGCGAGCCCAGACAACACAAAATGTGACGTGTAACACAACACCAGCACAGCAGGTACAGCACTTTGACAGTGGAAGGGAAATGGTGAAGGCACTGAGGCAAGTGGTTGCCTCGCCAAAGTCGAATACCTCAAGTTTCATGGAAACCCACTCAGATATGTGTCATTTATTCACAACTTCGAAACTTATTTGGAACAGGACAACCCTGACAACTGTAGGCATCTCCAACTACTGATCCAGCACTGCACTGGAAAGGCAAGATAAGCGGTCGAGAGCTGTGAGAATTTACCAGTTTCTGATGTTTATCGAGTGGCGAAAGAAACATTACGCGAGAACATCGGAAAACCGCACGTAATTGCAGATGCGCAAATTAAGAAATTGCTACGTTTACCTAGGCTGAAGAATGTGGATGGACCTTCCTTATTAGAATTCAGTAGACACTGCTGATCGAACCTTGACTGAAATGGGAACTGAATATGTAGCTGACCTTAATCACATGAACACTTTGAGAGAGCTAACCAAAAAGTTGCCAATGTTCCTCCGAGCAAAATGGACCGAGTGCGCTGGGAAAATTATAGTATCAGATCGTAGACCTAAGTTTGGAGATTTTGTAAAATTTATCAAAGAACGAGCCAAGTTGGTGGACAATGAATTTGGTCACGACATGAACTCTGAACCCTCAAAAGAAACAATTCTCGGAAGGAACCAGGGGAATCAGAGCAAACCTCCCCTCCGCTCATCAACGTTCTTGACTGGAACTGGATCAATCGGTGGTCGTCAGAATGAAAACAAGAGAGGGCCAGATTTCGTAAAGAATCAAGCTCCTTCTCTGGTTTGTTCTGAACGACATGAAATTTGGAAGTGCGAAAGGTTCAAAGGTTTCACATATGGAGAGAAAAGGAAAGTTGTGCAACAGGGTGGACTTTGTAACAAATGTCTTGTAAAGGGACACATAGCTAAGGAGTGCCCCAAAGTGAATTTCAAGTGCCAGAAGTCTAGTTGTGGAGATAACCACCACACCCTAATGCATCGTCACACTATCTATAGGAACGGAGGAGAAGCTAGTGCTGATGCCGAACAACAATCGCGAGCAAGACAAGAAAATGCTTTGCTTCCTAATGTTACTGGGGCCGGGAATGATAGAGAAGTAACTGTAGCGGCCACTGGGGCCGGACAAAACCGAGTTTGTCTTGGGATCCTGCCTGTCAAAGTTCAAGAAAAGGCTAGCGACAGGATGGTCGAGACGTATGCTCTGCTTGACAATGGTTCGGAGGTGACACTGTGCCATGAAAGGCTGGCAAAAGAACTTAAGCTTAATGGAAATAGACTTAGTTTCACATTGACTGGAACGACGGGTTCAGCTCAGGTGGAAGGTTGCCTTGTGGATTTGGTTGTGAAGTCCTTGGATGAATCAGTTACTGTCGAATTGTTGAATGTGAAAACATTCAATGATATGCCAATTTCTATAAGTTGTATAGCGAAGACAGAAGACCTTACTTGGCGGCCTCATCTTCGAGACATTGACATTCCAGTGCTAGAATATGGAGAAGTCTTGCTGTTGATTGGGCTCAAAGAGAATCCTGGCCTGTTCCTTCCACTTGAATGTAAATCTGGTGTCCACGATGAGCCGATAGCTATCCGATACAGCTTGGGATGGACAGTGATGGGTCCAATGGAGGGTCAGAAAGGAGATCACGGTTGCTCAGTGAATTTTGTCCGCACGAAGGAAAGTCAGTGGAGGCAAAGGGGAGTCCACGCCAACACTGAGCCGTTTGAACATTTGTGTAATGGAAGTCGCCTTGATAGTGAAACTGGTTTAATGGAAAGAAACGCAGATGTCATTAAAGAGCAGGAGCAAGCTGTTAGTAGCGTTAAAGGCCCAGAAAACAACGAAGAAGGGCTTCAAATTCATGTGAATGTCCTTCGGCCAAAGGAAAATGCTAAACACCACACAGATGATGAAATCTTACATCGCCAACTCGAGCGACTTTGGAAAACAGATTTTGGTGACTCTTCCGTTGGAATAGATACCCTACCATCCATTGAGGACAACAAAGCCTTAGACAAGATGGAACAATCCCTACAAGGAGTGGGTGACCACTCTCAAGTTGCTCTGCCATGGCGGGAGAAATGCCTTATCTCCCCAACAATAAACCAATGGCGGAACAACGGTTACAGCTTCTGAAGAAACGACTGCTTCAAGATGGAGAGTTGCTTACGAAGTACCGAAGTACGATGCAAGAGTACATACTTAGTGGGCATGCCCAGAGAGTTCGAAGGGAAGAGTTAGACGTGAGAGATTGTCCAGTTTGGTACCTTCCGCACCATCCTGTGACCCATCCGTTGAAACCAAGAAAAGTGAGAGTGGTCTTTGATTGTGTTGCAAAGTATCATGGAACCTCCGTTAATCAGCAATTGTTACAAGGCCCTGACTTGGCTAATCCTTTAGTAGGAGTATTGATCAGATTTCGCCAAGAATCTATCGCCATAGCAGCCGACATTGAGGCTATGTTTCATCAAGTTTACGTCGAGCCCAAGGACCGGGATGCGTTGAGATTCTTATGGTGGCCCAATGGAGACTTCAACGAGGAACCGCGAGAGTACTGCATGGTGAAACATCTATTTGGGGCGACCTCTTCTCCATCTTGTGCAAACTTTTGCCTCAAGAGAACAGCATCAATTTATCAATCAGAATTCGACCATGTGACAGTCCAAGTTGTGAAGAAAAACAAGTATGTCGACGATTTGAAGAAGTCTGTAAGTTCACCAGAGATTGCAATGAGGCTGTCTTCACAATAAAGAGAATTGCTGACGAAAGGTGGCTTCAGGTTAACAAAATGGCTTAGCAATGACCGGAAGGTGTTGGTTGAAATACCACAATGTGAAAGAGCAAGTTCAGTGGTCAACTTGGACATAGAAGATTTGCCCACAGCGTGTGCGCTTGGTTTGAAATGGAACGTAGAGACTGACAAATTCATCTGGGAGGTGTCAGCCAAAATTCAGCGATTACTGGAAGAGAAGCCAGTGACTAGACGTGGAGTGTTGTCAGTTGTTAGTTCATTATTTGATCCACTTGGTTTTATCTCCCCCTTCATAATGAAGGCCAAGCTATTACTACAAGAACTTTGTGGGAAGAAGGTGGGATGGGGCGGTGTCATTGGTGAACAAGATAGGGTTCAGTGGTTACGGGCTAGAAGAACTTCCAAAATTACAAGCATTCCAAATCGAACGATGTTTTAAGCCGAAGGACTTTGGCGAGACAAAGAAAGTTCAGCTGCACATTTTCTCAGATGGATCCCGTGCAGGGTATGAAGCAGTAGCCTATCTACGCCTTGTTGACGTTTTCGACAACATCCATTGCAGCTTTGTCATGGGAAAGGCACGGCTGGCCCCCATCCATGAAATCACGATTCTAAGGTTAGAATTATCAGCAGCGGTTATCTCAGTTAGGCTGTACCAGATCATAAGTCAAGAAGTGGAAATCTTGATAGATCGAGTGAAGTACTGGACGGATTCTACTACCGTATTGAAATGCCTTAAAAATGACACCAAGCGGTTTCACACCTTTGAGTCGAATCGCCTTACCAAGATCCGTAGCATATCATCCACCTCAGATTGGAGATACGTCAACCGAGATGAGAATCCAGCAGACGACGCATCCAAAGGCTTGAGGCTTGATGAGATGATCAAGAACCAGCGGTGGTTAAGTGGTCCAGCGTTCCTTAGGAAGGAAGAATCCTGTTGGCCAGCAACCATTGAGGTGCCCCCCTTGAAAGATAGCGATCCTGAAGTAAGAAAGGAAAGCCGAATCTACACCACTGTTGCTGTACAAGATTCAATAGGAGGTTTGATACATTACTACTCTTCATGGTGGAAATTGAAGAAAGCGTTTGCTTGGATTTTACGCTACAAGAGGTTTCTCCAGAGCAAAGTTTGCAAGCAGGAAGTATACGATGCATCTCCTCTAATTAGTTCAGGAAACGTAGTTGGAAAACTAACCGCACTTGAGCTGCAGAAGGCTGAAGAGGGAATTGTTCGACAGGTCCAGAAAGCTACCTTTCCAAAGGTGTTTGAGGTACTCGGTAACATCTCGCCTGGCGCAAACAAACGGTTGATGAAGAAGACACTAAAGAGGGAGGGCGCCTCGATATTCCAATTGAATCCTAAGTTAAGAAATGGGTTGCTGGCAGTTGGTGGAAAACTAGAGAGTGCTCCTGTAAAAGGAGATTTGAAGTATCCTTACATTCTACCCAATGATAACCATGTGACAGAACTAATTATTCGGCACAACCACGCGAATGTGGGCCATATGGGCCAGGAATCTGTGCTATCATCACTGAGAGAAAGGTTTTGGGTTATAAAGGGACGCTCTGCAGTACGACGTGTAGTGAGAAAGTGTGTTGATTGCCAAAAACGAAAGGCACCCACCGGAGAGCAGTTCATGGCAAAGTTACCTGAAGACAGGATCACCCCACATAAACCTCCATTCACATACGTCGGGGTGGATCTTTTTGGCCCCATAGAAGTAAAGCAGAAAAGAAGTAGAGTCAAGAGATATGGATGTATTTTCATGTGCTTGTCAGTCCGGGCCATACACATTGAGGTTGCAAATACTTTGAATACAGATTCTATGATCAATGCATTGAGGAGATTCATTTGCCTGAGAGGATGTCCCGAGGAAATCAGGAGCGACTGTGGAACGAACTTAACTAAAGCAGACAAGGAGTTGAAAGAATCGATTGAAGAATGGAATCAGCAAAGGATCGATGGATTCTGTGCTCAAAGAGGAATTCAGTGGATCATCAATCCACCTGGGGCAAGCCACATGGGAGGGGCATGGGAAAGAATGATCAGGTCCGTACGCCAAATCTTGAAGGCCTTATTGAAGGAACAAGTGGTCTGTGACGAAGTGCTTCACACGGTGCTGACTGAAGCCTGNTATCATCACTGAGAGAAAGGTTTTGGGTCATAAAGGGACGCTCTGCAGTACGACGTGTATTGAGAAAGTGTGTTGATTGCCAAAAACGAAAGGCACCCACCGGAGAGCAGTTCATGGCAAAGTTACCTGAAGACAGGATCACCCCACATAAACCTCCATTCACATATGTCGGGGTGGATCTTTTTGGCCCCATAGAAGTAAAGCAGAAAAGAAGTAGAGTCAAGAGATATGGATGTATTTTCACGTGCTTGTCAGTCCGTGCCATACACATTGAGGTTGCAAATACTTTGAATACAGATTCTATGATCAATGCATTGAGGAGATTCATTTGCCTGAGAGGATGTCCCGAGGAAATCAGGAGCGACTGTGGAACGAACTTAACTAAAGCAGACAAGGAGTTGAAAGAATCGATTGAAGAATGGAATCAGCAAAGGATCGATGGATTCTGTGCTCAAAGAGGAATTCAGTGGATCTTCAATCCACCTGGGGCAAGCCACATGGGAGGGGCATGGGAAAGAATGATCAGGTCCGTACGTCAAATCTTGAAGGCCCTATTGAAGGAACAAGTGGTCTGTGACGAAGTGCTTCACACCGTGCTGACTGAAGCGACTAACATCCTCAACAGTAGACCCTTGACGCGAAACAGTAATGATGTTATGGATGAAGAACCGTTGACCCCAAACCATCTTCTAAACTTGCGACCATGTTCCAGTTTGCCCCCAGGAATTTTCGACAAAGAAGATCTGTACTGTCAACGCCAGTGGAGACAAACGCAATACTTGTCAAATCTCTTCTGGAAACGGTGGATTGGTGAATACCTCCCGACCCTTCAAGAACGAAAGAAGTGGAATGAAGCAAAGGAGAATCTGAAAGTGGGAGATGTCGTTCTGTTAGCGGACAAAAACTTTCCTAGAGGACAGTGGCCACACGCGCGAATCATTGAAGTTTTTCCTAATGAAGATTGGCTTGTGCGTTCTGCAAGAGTCAAGACCAGTTTCACCGTCATGACCCGCGCGAAGCGCCAAAGACAGAGGGAGGTGAAAACGACAGTGACTACCCTCGTACGACCAATTACGAAGCTGTGTCGTCTTGAATTGTCAAATTCCTAGTTAGAATCATCCGGTGATTCTTTGATCACACCTGTATGTAGCACCTTGACGTTATGGATGTGTCTGTGCAGCGTTACAAAGTTTTATTTGACGCAGACTCTGATCTAACCTTACAGACCAACAATGGCATGGCATTTGACATTTGCAACATACTTTGAACTGGTGTGGATCTATATGGACGACAAAATAATTAGGTGTATTCACGCCGGCACCTGATGACATGGACAGTTAGTTTATATTGCTTGTATAGAGTAGCTTC